GTAATTTACTCAGAGTATATATTAATACCTGGGGGAGCAAACAACTGTGCATATCTCTCTATCAGTGTTATAGAGGGTGAACAATTTATGAGTTTGCCCTGCATAAGCTTTATGCAGGGTAAAATGGATTTATCTGGGTTTAGACCCCATTGGGAGTTGGGCATCTGAGTGCTAAAGACAAGCACACTACTGTGAATTGTTTTCATGTAAACTTGCAGCTTTGGGACAAGTGATTCAGACCCTGGGTCTGTGTCTGGAGCCAGACAGGGGTGTCTGGCTCAGCAAGACAGGGTGCTGGAGTCCTGAGCTGGCAGGGAAAACAGGAGCAGAGGTAGTCTTTTGCACATCAGGTGGCAGCTCCCAAGGGGGTTTCTGTGATCCAACCCGTCACACCTCTTTTGTCCCTTTCTCCCATCACGTCATGCCTCCTAACGACCTCTAGCATTGGCTCACACCCAACATCCTCTTCCTCCATTCCTAGACCTGTGCCACTGAACTCCACTGGAGAAAATCCAAGGACCACACGATCTTCCTCCATTACAGATCTGTCCACTTCTCCTTCAGTACTGCCATCTTCTTTGCTAAACAACTCTTCCTGTTTCTCACTGAATCCTAGATTAAAAACCCTATAGCGTATTCACTACCTTTCAGTACCTCTTTAAGTCCCTTTTCTCCACCCTGAACACTTTCTTCTTTTCCCAGCATCTGATTTCCTCCAATTCCCCATATTCGCTCTCAACTCCTGGCACTAATTCTGAGATCACTTCTCTATATCAAACACCTCCACCTATTCACTTAACCCCACTGCTAGGCAACTCTTGGGCGTTCATAATCCATCCATATCTTTCTTGACCTCTCTCCCATTTCAGGTCCTGGTTCAGCAAAGCATTAAAATATGTGCTTAATATTAAGCACAAGTAGTCCCATCAAATTGAGTACTTAAGTAGGTAACTAGATCAGGGTCTATGACAACACAGAATATCTATTTCATGGCACTGTCCTCTCTTGGTTCTTTTCGTATCTATCCAATGTTTCTTCATTTTCTTTTTCCCCATTCCTCTTTTGTAGAAGTCTCACAGGTCCCTTGGATGTTTCTCTTCCTTTTACATCTTATCTGCTTAGTTGATTCTAACTACCATCTCTTACAGTGATTACTCATACATCTAATTCTTCACTCTTTCCCCATCTTCCTGCATGGAGACCTGCAATCTAGTTTGTCTTTCTGACACTGCTTGCATGTTTCGCCAACAATTTCAGTTTACCACAGTTAAAACTGAGTTTCTTATTTTTTCACCTTTAGGAATTTATTTTTAATTTTTTTCTCCTTTTCTTGTCTGCTTTCCCCATTCTTAATTGCTACCGACAAAATTACCATCTTCTTTGACTCAGGCTTGCAACATGAGAATCATCTTTGACTGCCCCTTCTCAAGTTTCCTGTATGTCCAGCACATACTCATATTTTGTAGTTTGTTCCTCGACAGCATTTTGAATGTCCAGCCCCATTTTCTAAGATGGGGTAGTCAAAAGGCAGACCAGGGGTCAAATGCCGGCTGCCAGACACTTTTGAACGGACCACAAAACCTTTTTATTTCTTTATTATCATTATTTCTGTATTTTCTTCTCTGGCGTTTGGACCTTGATTATACCTTGACTAAGAAATTTGGACCTTTACAAAAAATAATTGATTACTCCTGTTCTAAGATCCCACAGCTAAAGCCAGCCCAGGCATTGGATATCTTTGATTACTTCAACCTACTCTTCTCTTCAGCCTCCCTGATTCTAATATTGCTTTCCCTTCCTGGTGCAGCCAAAGGGAAACCATTCAAATGACTTTGAATCTGATGCTGACAATGTAATCTCCCCCACGTCTTTGAATTCCTCTATGAACTCTCCCTTTCCCACTACATCATATTTAAACTGTTTTGTACTTACCTTAAAGGCCTACACAACTTTGACTTGGACTATATATTGGGAGTTTAGTCCTCTCATCTCCTCCACTCTGCCAAGGATACCAACTTTGATGTCCCAATAATCATCTTATAGCAATCCTGTTTCTGTGGGTCTCTCACCCCTCTCCCCCGCCCATAGTGGATGTTCTCCCAGTAGTTTGGATATTCATTCAAATCTTTCCCAATGAAATGAGTTAATAGTTAATAATTATAATTTTTAAAAAAATTCCAAACCCTAGTTATTTTCTAGTTGGGATTTCCAGTACATCCCTGTCCTCTCTATGTCTGCCTTTAATATTTTAAAGGTCCACAGAGCAAGCATTGTCTTCATTTTGTGGCACCAAACACACTCTACATAATTAAATTTATTTAAACAATAATAAATATTAACTTTCAGTGCTAATATATCAAATACATGGGCCAGAATGATTTGGGGATTGAATGTTTTGTTCAAGATTCAGAGTATCTTTACAATATCACCTGATGCTCCTCACTTTAGTAGCACCCCAGTCTGATCAGTTACCAGAGGGAACACTGACACAAATTTTGGTGGGAAAAACCTCTAAATTGGTTAAAAATACAGGGATGGAGAGAGAATAGGAGAGGGAAAACAACTCAAGTTGCTTTGTTTTTTAACATTGTTTACAACTTTGGTCACCCAATTCTCTGTCAATAATTGCAAATGGGATAAGATGTCAAAAGCCACCCCGAGCGACATCCTCCTTGCTCTTCCCAAAAATACCTTCTGAATAATGCATTCCTTTAACTTTGACCTAAAACACTGCATCAGTTTGATTAATTAGAATAAAGGCTTTGGTTTTTTTCTTATGATTTTTATGCTAATTTGGGAAACAGTCAGAAAATGTAAGGGTTCCACTGGCTACATTAGAGACCAGTATAAATGGGTTTCCAATATAGTAATAATATTAGAAAACAATAGAGGGTTCAATGTTTTATACATCTCTTGTATGAAATTAGAATAATCTTCTTTGATGCACCGCAATACAGCCAATGGATTGTGCATTAAACCCGCCTCGTCTGACCTTCGTTTTTCTTAGCTATGGTATTTTTAAAAGGAAACACTCACTGGAGCAAAGAGAACACAAAAGAAAAATTATAACCACCACAGTAACAAATCACAGCTCTAATTCAATAATTTGCTGACTATGTTTAGAATGATGCACATTGTCTTTCACTGAAGACTCTCAAAGCACTTTACAAACATCACTTCATTGTAGACATCCCTGTGAGGTGGGGCACAAAGCATTACTACTGTATCCCCATTTTAAGATAGAGTAATTGGAGCACAGAGAGTGCTCAAGTGACTTACCCCCCAAGGTCACTCAATGAGTCAGTGTCAGTCAGGAACTGAACTGCTGAGTCATTGCTCTCACTTATGCTCTAACTACCAGACAATACTCTTATGTTCTCCCAGCCATTCTCTGTCTTCCAAAGTATTGATGGGAGTATCTGTTTAATATGCTATTTCTAGTACAAAAAGATGAATTCTGTATTGAAATGCTGCAGTGTGTGTTGTAGACAGAATAAAAATGAGCAGCCCAAAGCATCAGCCCATCCTTTTATAGTCGCTTTAAGTTTGCAGGAAAAAAAGTTGCTCTAAAGAAACACCTCTTGTCACATTCAAAAATCCATTTTAAATCTGCAGTCACTGTTGATTGCTAATGGTCCTAAAAGTTGACTATCCAACTACTTGGTATACAGCTCGTACAAAACCTGTGCTTTGGGAGATTAGCTGCATTAAAATGTTTCAAAACTGGTTATGAATTACATTACATGAAGATTTAAAGCCACATGGAGAAAAGCTGGTCAGGGTCGGACAGTATAGGACAGACAGTTCTTTACTGTTCCCTGAGCTGCTATTATATTTTCCTTAATAACCTCTAAATC